TAAACAGCATGAACTGTCAAAAAAAAGTTAGAAATCTTTAGAAATCTTTGGGGGTGCTTTTATTCATTTTGGGGGTGCTAAAATTGCCCCTGCTGGAAATAGCTCTGTAGCAGAAGCCAAGCCCAATGTAGTCCCCCACTCTACTGGAGATCCACCCAGGCACGTAATGCCCACTTTGGCCTTCGCCGTACGTACAGCAACGACACCAGGATTAACTCCGCGTCAATCACACACACCAGCCAAACACTAACCCTGGATCCACACAGACCTGCCGCGGCTTCACTCCCTCCAACTGCCCCTGCCTACAGCTGAATCGAAACGCCTTTGACCGAACGGAATTACCGTCATATATACACTCTCCTCACTCACTCCTGGGTCCTAAAGTCCCAACTCGTTACATTTACATTAACTTGTGTCAATAAATGCTGGGTGAGTACTTGTGATTTGGACTCACAATGGTATAGAGCAGAGGTAGCCAATCTTACCCGCAAAGGGCCGGTGTGTATGCAGATTTTTGGGATAACCTGTAGGTCAGCTGTTCAAACCCAGGTGTGAGGACTCTTATTTGTCAATTAAACTATTTTTAATGCTATGTAAGACCATAATTTTCACCAAATTGGTTTAATTACTTCTAATTCTTATAATGTCCCATGGAAACCCAGTCTAAGAGCTGTCCAGAAAAAAAAATATTTTGATGATATTTCAAGGAAATTACTTACTTTGTAAAGGTGCTTAAATGGAGGTGTGATGTCCTGGAGGCATACCTCAAGTGCTTATGTTATTTCTACAAGAAACCACAAACATTTCAGGTATGTAGCAGTTTGAAACATTATTCAAAATTAAGTTCAAAACCTGAAGCTGTGCAGTACAGTGAATCATGCAACAGGATTGAGAAAATGTAAAAACATATTTTACCTCCAACAACTTTGCCAAGGGCCACTGTTCTCCCATCTTTTTTCAGCAGTCTTACATGTCTGTAAACACATAAAATATGTATGCACATATACTGTATTGATCCTGATAGTTTTAATATTGCAAAAATATCAGTTGGGCTGGCGACTGCACAATATTTAAGAAGCTAAATTATGAAATGTATTACTATCTTACACAATCATAAGATACAAATACAGAAAAAGCTACATACTGTTCAAGTGAAGTTGAAGTCCTCCCTGTCTTCTAGACAATGCAATCAATAGAAATGAAGTTATACCATGACATGAGAAACCAGAAAAGTGAAGCAGAACATGAACAGGAAAATTATTCAGCCTTGGCTGACTAGGTCTGTATGCTGGACATTCCATTGATGATTTAATCTGATTGTAAGAGGCTTGAATAATTTTAACTTGCTTGCAAGTTACCCATGTACAGTATGTATTACCTTTCCTGACCTTCGGAGGTACTCCCTCCTGTTTTGGAGCATTTTTAATGCTTTTTGACGAATTTCTTGTTCTTTGCCGATGAGGCAGGGCAACTCTGCTGTGACCTTGAAATTACATGAAATATTCTGTTAAAACACTTTATTTGATGTTTTATATTTTGTTACGATCCAGTCTAGGGTTGGACCGCAAGAAAGTGAAAGGGAAGGAGGGATTGGGGAGGACAGGCCAACTAG